TACTACGCAAATTAAATATGAAAAGTAGTTCGGAGGGATGCACGATGCTACGCAAATCAAATATGCAAAAAAAGGTAGTCATCAGAAGGATGTCACGGTGCTACACAAATTAAGTATGAAAAAGTAGTCACCGGAAAGATGGAACGGTGCTACACAAATACCAACGGATATGGGGTTGACACAAAACAGCCCTAGAAAGTCACCGAAAATTGATGCATGGTGACCTGTCTGACTAAGTTTCTTCCCTTGAACATGGGGTTCATGCATGTATCATTTGTCCTACTTTTATTAACATAATCATTGGCCAGACGGGCAGCATATATGGGTGCCACCCGCCAGTAACGGAAGCTCTTTAATTCTCTACCAAGTTTGTAGAGGCTCTGATACCATGTGAGAAATATTGGAAAAGAATATTATTGAATTGTTGTTGTTTACATTATTACATTGAGACTTTATTTATAGACCCTAGAATACAATCCTTTACCAAGTAGGATACTATTTAGTATTCCTATTTCTATTTCTATTCCTATTCCTGTTCTAATAGGATTGTATAAACTTATTCCTATTCTAATAGGATTGTATAAACCTATTCCTATTCTAATAGGATTGGATAAACCTATTCCTATTCTAACAGAAACAAATTGGCGTAGACCCTAAAAATTTAGCTCATTGCCTCACCCCCCTCCCCCCCAAACCAAAAAAAAGGGAACACGAACACAGACCAAGTATGTGATGCTGGATCCTGGATACACCAGAGACTAGATAGGATGAACAGGGGAAGAGCGACCCGACCAGACAAGATTCCGCTGGAATTTTGAAAGAGCACAGACATGACAGGCATAGAGTAGTTGACTGGGTTGTTTAATGTCATTTTTAAGACGGCAAAAATGCCCAAAGAATGGAGGCGGAGTACAATGGTCCCATTGTACAAGAACAAGGGTGATATCCAAAACTGTAACAATTACAAGGGCATCAAGTTGCTAAGTCACACTATGAAAATTTGGGAGAGGGTGATGAGATGAGGGTGAGGAGGGGTGTGTCCATTTCTCAGAACCAATTCAGTTTCATGCCGAGGTAATCAACTACAGAAGCCATTCATTTGGTGAGGAGACTGATGGAGAAATATAGGGAAAGAAAGGATTTGCATATGGTCTTCATTAACCTTGAAAAGGCTTACGACAAAGTCTCGAAGGAAGTCCTCTGAGATGCCAAGAGGTTAAAAGCATACCAGTAGCTTACACTAGGGTTATAAAGGACATGTATGATGGAGCCAAGACTTGACTTAGGACGGTGGAAGGAGACTTCGAGCACTTCCCTGTTGAGATGGGATTGCACCAAGGATCAGTTCTTAGCCCATTCCAATTTACCTTGGTGATTCAACAAATTGACGCGGTGTATTAATAATGAGGTGCCATAGTATCTGCTATTTGTGGATGACATAGTACTACTTGATGAGACATGCGATGGAGTTTATGCTAAGTTGAAGGTGTGGAGACAAATGTTGGAGTCCAAAGGGTTCAAGTTGAGCAAGACCAAAACAAAAATTTTGGAGTGTAAATTCAGTGATACAGTGAATGAGGTTGGCGTGGAAGTGAGGCTTGACACTCGGGCTATCCTTAAGAGAGATAGTTTCAAGTATCTTGGGTCAGTAATCCAAGAAACTGTCTCTATAATTGATGTTTTAGATTCAATTTTAGATTTAGAATAGTGGAGTTTTTGGAGTTCATCTGTATATAAGGTTTAGTACTGCCCATGTACTATTGTGTTATAATACAAAGTTACCAAGTTTCAAAAAAAAAAAAAAGTGGGGACATAGACAATGATGTCACTTATCGTATTGGAGTGGATGAAATGGAGGCTTGCCTCCAGAATCTTGTGTGATAAGAAGGTACCACCTAAACTTAAAGGTAAGTTCTACAAAGTAGTGGTTAGACCGACATTGTTGTATGGGGTTGAGTGTAAGTCGAAAAATGAGAATGCTGAGATGGATGTGTGGGCACAATAGGAGTGATAGGATTAGGAATGAAGATAATTGTGACAACGTGGGAGTGGGCCTCCATAGTGGACAAAATGAGGGAATCAAGTAAGATGGTTTGGACATGTCAAGAGAAGATGCGTAGATGCCCCCGTGAGGAGGTGCGAGAGGCTAGATATAGCGGGAACGAGAAGAGGTAGAGGTAGGCCGAAAAAGTATTGGGTAGAGGTGATTAGACAGGACATGGCACAACTCCAGATTACCGAGGACATGACATTAGATAGGAGGGTGTGGAGAAGGTTAGTAGGTATGGAGTGTTATCTTGATTTTTGAGAGGTTTAATCGTTTTCTTGTAGTGTTTTGCTTTTGATTCCACTATCACTTGTTTTTTATTGTGTTTAGGTATCGCATTATTTTGTGGTTTCTATTGTTTCCTTATTAGTTGCTTTGTTTCTCCACTTTCGTTTTTCTTTTTTCATTATTCTGATATGTTATACTCGAGTCAAGGGTCATCCAAAAACAGTCTCCTTAACCCCACGAGGTAGGGTATGGTCTTCATACACTCTAACCTCCCCATACCCCACCTGTGGGATTCCACTGGGTATTGTTGTTGTTTGTAATACCCATACAAATTAGCTAGAATACATCAAATTTGCATGCATATCCATTCCCACCTTGTCAAGTAACTCAAATCACTCAACTAAATCAACTATAGAAATGATTTAAAATGTGCAGATAATATTCATATATAAAGCATACTTACAGGACAAGGGGACCCCAAGGACCAAGATCTTGCTCAATCCATTGCAAGAAATCTTTCAGTATCTGGAAGAAAAGAAAAGTATTTTAGAGCACAATAGAGAGAGATAAGTAACTTGAATCAACAAGGCTCCATAGACATGTCTCTAAGTTATCCTGATAATACAGTCTATGTATCCAGTTTATTGACAGAATTTCACAGAACGACAACCGAAAAAGTGAGCTCCACTTGATTCTTTATCCATTTAAAATTGTTCCAAAGTTCGAATTCAAGAATCCAATCTAGTAATATCATAAATGAATCCAGAAGTAAGTTACATCATGTGGATCACACATTATGAAGTTCTGAACATATATCACTGGATAATATAGTCAACTCCATTTGGCATAAATTGGCAAGAGGTTCATAATAGACATGAAATACAACAACAAAAAAAGAAACAATTACTCCAATGGAAAGTTCAAATTACACATTAGTTTTCCAGGTTCTGGAATAAGCTCACTCTTTCCTCACAGCTCATGTAAATCATATTTATGGAAGATGCTAATAGGATTTGCTTGGAACCAAACACCACCCCAAGTCACAGATAACAATGTAGACATAAACCCAACACTGAGACTTCTACCTAAAATGATCCATGCAACCAAATAAATCACATCCAGAAAAGGATAATCATCTTAATTAAATATAAACAATAACTACACCTCAAATCCAAACTAGTTGCGGTTGGCTTATAAATGTTCTATATCTATCCTGCTCTATTTGAGCTTGTTTCATTCGAACGACGTTTAAAGACAAATTAGGTCATTCTCTATTCTCACACTAATCCCTAAAACTGACATACAAATCTCTGGCCAAACTAAAAAGACTCCTAGCAAATGAATAACAATTCACAGACAGTGAAATCCCAAATTGGCAAATGAACAAATGCTAAATGCAAATACTTTCACAGCCCTAAAAAGGCAAAAACTCACGAATAACCAATACCTATAATTTTTACCAAAATCCAAGATCACGAAACCGCTTCCCAACCAAAAGGGTAGGTCAAATTTCAATAAATTAAAACAAAAAAAAAACAAGGATAACCCAGGTGAGCCAAGAATAACGAATAACCAAGAACAAACTTCGCTACGAAAAAACCCAGATCAAATAAATCATTGTTCAACCAAAAATGATGAAAACATAACAAATTAAGAAACCCCATATGGGTAAAAAGAAACCTTTTCAATGGGGAGAGTGAAACAAGCGGTGGCAATTGCAGCGAGAAGGAGAAGAAGAAAAGTGAATTTGAAAAGAGAAGACCAATGAAAAGCCATTGATAACCTCTTACGCCAAGGCCTACACTCCTCTTCGTCTTGGTCCTCGGGAGTTGCTTGTTTCAATGACAAGCGCGGCCTTAATCCTCCTAAATTAGCCAGATTTCCCAATTGAAGATAAAATTAAACACCCCTAAATCTATAAGGATAAAACCCCAAGAAAATTTCTATAATGCCTCATCTCCCAAGAACAAAAAGATCAATTTTTTACAATAGTTTTTGATCTTGGGGTGGATCTATAAGCTAAAAAAAGCTTTGCTTTGCTGCTTTCCTTCTATTTTTTACGTTTTGCGTCTAGGAAGATGCTATTCGCGTAACGTAGTGAAAACTCCAAAGTCTTGCTTCTTTCCTATATTTACACTTTTCTCAAACACAAACAAAAAAAAACAATTTGATTAATTAATCCTCATGTATTGTACTTATTAGTTCCATCAATTTTATGGGAAAACAAAAATAATTTATGGTGAGATGAAATATAATTCTAGAATAAAATTTATGGAACTAAAGAAAGAAGTTTCGATTAAGGGGGGGATTATTAGATATTTAACTTGTGATATGACATTTTTATAATACATTTTAAAAGTTGTTAATTTATTTTGTTGTAAGTTTTCATAATTTGATTTCATCTTTTTTAGTGTGATCAATAAAATAGTAATTTTGAGATTATTAAATTGAAAAAGATTTTAAAAAATAATATGAAAATGGACTTGAATAAATTCCAAAATATTGAGTTGGGAGTATTGATGAGTATTGATGCAGGGTGGATGATGTAACACCCCAGAATTTCTTCGAACTAAGACTCGAATCGTTCATCGTAGTGAGTGAGATTTTACCGAGGAATTAAAATTTCTTAAGTGTTAAGGTCACTAGATGTAGCAACTTGAGTTCCAAAAAGAATTAAATTGGATATAGCAAAATCTGAAATTTTGCAAGTTAAACTAAGTATGAGTTTTGGGTCGACTTCAAACGATCATAACTCCTAGCTCAGGATGAGTTAGGTGTTCTACCAGATACCGTAGGAAATATCTTTGAATTATCGATACTGTAGGAAAGACCTTTGAATTATCTTTCCAACGCCGCCGAGTTTGCTAAGTTTCGAGGTCGGATAAGTGAGATATGGCCTTTTGAAGATAAGTTGTCCAGTTAAGGAAAGTTAATCGAAAATAGAGAGGGGTATTTTGGTCTTTTCCTTACCCAATCAGATTTAATTCATTTTTAGTAATATTTTAAGGGTCTAATCTTTTTAGGTTCAGTTTTATAATCCTAAAATTAGCCAAGGATTTTAGTTGAGAGTTCAAGAAGAGAAAAGAAGAGAGAAGAGTAGAAAAGAGGAGAGGATCAAGCGTTCATCGAGATTCTTGCGTGTTGTAGCGTATTTTCGCCATGGGTTTGATCCCTAAGAGGTATGTAAGCTTCCATAGTGTTGGTTTTGTTCACCCACACGCCAAACATGTTATTTTCAGCGCAAATTTCATTCTTGAAGTTGAAAGATTTGAGTTCTTGATAGGTGTTCTTGAAGTTCATTCTGAATCTTGTTGTGTTGGGTTTTGGATGATTTCTTGAGATCAAAGTGAGTGTTTTAAGGGATGTAATGAGTATATTAGAGTGTACTTATGTTAAGTAATCAATTCTAAGTGATTGGGGAAGAAACCATTCGATTCTAGGCAAAATAGGGTGAGAAAACGAGATAAAAAACTTGTTGAATTTTCTAGGTTGGGGCCTGGCGCTATGCGCCTGCCAGAGCGCCCCAAACCCACCTCTGAAGTTTAGGGGCTGGCGCCCCGTGCCACCCATAGCGACAGGGTCGCCTGCCCCATCCAGTTTGTCGTCGGTTGCCCCGTTTGAGTTCGTTTAAAGTGCACCTTTACTCCTTTTCGATTCTAACTACTCTAAGCTACTTCTAAACACCTAACATGATCATAACCTTGAATTCATAAATCAAATTCAAGGTAGAGTTGAGAGTCAAGTTTGAGAGTTGTTTCAAACCTTTTTATAAGGTCCCTTAGAGTCTTTTTGAGGAGTCTTCTACAATTACTAGTAATTTGTTTCAAGACTCGAGCAAGTGAGTATGAGGATGAGGAGAATGTATTCATGAATCTACTTTGTCATCATGAGATCCTTCGTATCATGAACCAAAACTCTTGAATTCATAATTCACATTCAAAAGAGAGTTAAGAGTAAAGTTCAAGTAAGCCTTTGAGTTCAATTGTGAATCCTTTGAGATCAACTATCGATTTGAACTAAGTTCTGAGAAAGTAAGTGAGAGAATGAGAAGAGTCGTATACATGAGTCCATGTTGTTATGTAGATCATCAAGTTAGGTTGTTTCATGCCCATAATTCCGCATGAACTTCGTAAGTTGAGCATCTTTCAGAGAAGTGGTATCTTCAAGCTTTAAGCCTTTAAGTGTTGAGTTCCTAAGCCCTTTTGAGAAGTATATTTAAGTTCTTGAGTTAAGAAGTTCATGCTTATAACTCCGCATGAACCCTTTGAGTTGAACATTCTTTAAATGAGTAGTATCATTGAAGTTCTTGAGTTCCAAATATTGAGTTCTATCTATGGTTATTGAAAACCTTGCATTGAGTAGTTCATGTCCATAATTCGGTATGAACCATATTTTAAGAAGTCTTTTACAAACGTTTTAACTTTGTTTTAAGACTTAATCTTTGAAGTTAAGTAAAGAGTAAGAGTAAAGTCTTTTATAAACGTTTTAACTTCGTTTTAAGACTGAAAGTTTCAAGTTAAGCAAAGAGTAAGAGTTGAGTTCATTTCTCAAAAGAGTAAGAGTAAAGTCTTTTATAAATGTTTT